TCGTGCATCTTTTAAAACAGTTAAACTTTAATCTAAATTCTTTGACTGTATTCTGTTAGTTTTTCTACAGCGTCAGTGTAAAATCCTACATCTGAGCTGGAATAACCCCAGGCAACAGTTCAAGCTGACTAGGTAGCAGCTTGGCAAAGAAAAAAAATGGCTGTGTTTGTGGACAAGTTGAACATATGTTAGCAGGGTGCTTTTGCAAAAGTGATGGCCAACTGCATACTGGGCTGCATTAGCAAACCATCACCAGGAGGCTGGAGAAAGTGATTATTCCTTTTTGCTGAACGCTCACGAGGCCACATCTCAGCATAGTGTCCAATTTTAATCCCTCTCCAATATAAGAAAGACCTTGACAAATTACGCTATCACCAGATGAGGGCTGCTAAATGATCAGAAGACCGAAGGAAGGATGTACTAGGACGGGTTGAAGGAACTGGGCTTGTTCAATGAGGAGAAAGGAAGGCTTAGGGGCATATTTATGGCTGTATTGAACTACCTGAAGAATTGTTACAGAGAAGACAAAGCCAAAGAGGTGCATAAAGAAAGGATAATGGCAACTGTCCCAAGTTGCAATTTCACTGCTGTATCTTCTGGTGTTCTCATTGGTATGAGCTCTTCAGCCCTGCTTTTTCTTTTTAGTGGATCTCCTCTAATAAATCTGTCCAGATATGGTCTGTGAATTCCACTCAACAAAATCAAAAAGCAGTTCTTATAGTCAAGCAGAGAGGACTTCCCGTGCCTGAGCCCTTGGTTTCTCCTAGAGCTTTCTGGCACGTCAGACTCTCTTTTTATCCCATACTTCAGGAAAATGCAACTGGCCATGTATCAGTACCAATGTTCCATGATTCCCAGCTGAGCACGCGAAAAGACGATACAAAGCATTTATCTCCACAGCTTAAAATATCTGCCCGTGCTTTTGCTACCTGTCATCTTCCTAACCTTCTCAGGGAGCTCTTGCAGGCAATTTCCTCACTTCATAACTGGATTTCTTGCTGCTGGCTATTTTTGGTTCTGCCTGGGGGATACCTGCAAAGCTAAGGATCGCATGGCCAAGGCTTGCAGCCATGGATGGGAGGGTAGTAGGTACAGCAGAGGATGTGTATGTGAGGTGGGACAGGGGGTCTCCCTGTGTGGTGAGAGGAGGCTGTTGAATCACCTCCATTAGCTGTTGCACAACAGGGCTATTCTCATCTGCTAAATAACAAAACATCTCAAGCAAACATAAATTCAGATAATGGATTCCTGTGATCACCATATTTTTCTGAAATAACACCACTGCACATTAATTCCAGTTTTGATTTGTTTCATTTGATTCTGGCTTTTTTTTTTTTTTTTTTTTGAAGGGGAAAAGGGCAGCTGAAGGGACGAATGGAGAAATTACCTTTATACAGTAAATTACGTCTGCATTATTTTTTAAATAAGCTACTGCTATTTTAAATCAAGCTACTTTTCCTTCAGTGTTCTTAATTTTATAAGTAAGTGCTGTGCTCCAGAGCTTTCTATTAAGCAAAGTGTTTTAAAATGAGTCTTAAATAATTTAAATATCTCTTTTCTGAAATACATCCATTTCCTGGAAGAATTTTTGTCAATTTTATGCCTTCCTGGGAAGAAAATAAAACAGAGAAAGTATTTTATTATGCTATCCACAGTCTTAAAAGAGCAGGAAAAAATGTGCAACAGTAATAGCCTCCATTCGACAGCAGGCACACACTAAGAAAAATCTATAATAATGTAATTTGCCTTCTTCACATCCCTCCCAACTCGAATTAAGTTAAAAATAAAATGAAAAACAGGAGACATTTCTTATTCCCAATTGATGTGAAGAAGGATGTTGTATTTGTTGTCGGTCTGAAGCCTGCCTGGCTTCAGCTAGTACTTCTCCCCCCAGGAGAAAAGGGACCTGGAGCCTTGGTATCAGCACCTTGATGCTGGAGACAGAAAAGTGACCGCTGCCCAACTCCTCCTCATGAAAAATTTATGGCTTTAGTGTAGACCCGGGCACCTGTTCTGACAGGCCAGGAGCTTGTCCTTTCCCTGAACAGAGGACAGTTTAGTCCCATTCGCCAGCAGTTATCCCCCAAAGGCAGTGGCCAAAGAAGCAACAGCACAATACAGGTCTGAAAATGGCTGGTACTGGCCTGTGGGGAATGGACTGAATGTGGGGTTACTGCTCTCCCTGAAGGAAATTAGCTGTGACACGAAGGGGACGTAACGCAGTGGCAATGACACCGTACCCTGCGTGACACACCTTCTTTTGATAAGGCCCCACCATTCCTGTAAATCATATTGGGAATGTACTTACACTACCACCCCTACAGATTTCCATGGGTATGTTAGTCAGAGAAATTAGGTGATGTCCACCTTTATTTCACCTGACCCTATTAAGCTCCTTATTAGACAGAGGAGGAGAATGAGATAAAGTGAGTGTGACCACGTTGACATGCAAATTAGTTTTCCAACAAATTATACTACTAAGTATTTCTTTGTTCTGTAATATGTGAAGGAGACCAGAAGAGACAGCGTGATAAACGAAACTCGGCCCAAACGTAAACAGCTGGAAATGGATTTCCATGAGGCATGTCATGCCATGACTGAAGCAGGTTCATGTCATTGGGTTGTACATCTCCAGCACTCTGAGGGATGGCTGGATGGTGACCAGCCCCTTCCAGTCTCCAGCTCTGCACAGATGATGCAGTCATACCCATCACTGACTTAACCAGATACAGAACTGCATCCAAGATTGTAAGATGCTTTCTTCTTGGGTGAGTGCAATGACTTTGTGCCTTGGTGCTCTCCTACGACAGCTCACTAGCCCACTTTCTCCCTGGAGAGCGCTGCAATGAGCTGAATCACTTTTAGTCCATAATGACACATCAAGGGCCTGCCATGACAGCAAGCAATGCCACGCAGCTATTTATGCTACAATAAAGAGGAGGCGAATATAAACTCTAGGTATTAGTTATGAGATGCTGGTGCTGTTTCTTCAGATATAAGCATACAATATTGGAATATGATATTGTTGTTTGATTTACATAGGAAGCAGTGTTGTTTCTAGAATACCTAAGTAACGTACACGAAAGGCTTAAAGCCAAAAGAGTGCAAACTGACAAAGGAAACAGCTAGAAAGAAGACAGGGCGATGCCTGTCTCTGTGTTTGAGGTTGGGCACATACACTGTCCTCTGACATAGCAACTTGCCTCAGAGAGGGCGAGGTCGTGTCTAACCTCAGCAGCGAGGAGCTGGGGCTGCATGGTTGCATTGCAGTTATAAGGTGCAAGACTTTAGAAGAGCCATCTGAACACTTCCTAATGATCACATCGAAGCAGGACAAAAATACGTCTGGTTCCTGGGAAATTGGGAGACAGGTCCAATATTTCAATAAGTGGCAATGGTTTTCTGGGGCACAACCACTGAATTTTCAGGAGCACGAAACCTAAATAGGAATCCACTCCCTTCCTCTTTTAAGTAGCCCCCATGGAAAGGCTCCCTGGGCTCACACTAATCAGAGACAAAGTTATACCAAGTGTCATCCAGAGCACCAGCAGGACAAATCTGAGTAAAAGCAGGCCACTTCAGCATCTGGCAGGGTCTGTTTAGCACAAACCATGATTACAAGCTGGAGTGTTTATTCACGCTCAAACTGCACAACTCGGTTGTGTATACCAATAGACGTCTCCTTCCTTGTGCAATGCACATGAGGTTCTGAAGCCCACATTTGGTTTAAAGTCCTCTTCAATAACAGTAAAAAAGAAATCGGTTTACAGCTTTATGCCCCAAGTGATCCAAAGCCTAATTAGTCTGATGCATTTTCTAAGAGAAAATTAAGCATAGTTCTACTGATGCCAGTGATGTTATGCTGCCCCTCGATGAACATAAGCAGAAAGACGAACAGGCCCATGATATTTCATAGCAGTGAGGGCGTCATATACCATCATACTTGCTGTATTATGCAGCACACTACATCTGAGTTCTATGTCTATTAAAATATATAACTAGTCATTTCATGATGCTTTTGGAAATCAAAGCTCAATTAAAAGGTTGGGTTTAGATTGATTTTTAGGCATTCTATCACAAAAGATAGAACAGCAAACACCACATATCTAACATGTAAACTGGCAAATTCAAATGACCCCACAGCCCAGTCTGTCTTGTTCTTCTATTGATCCTTTTTGTCTAATATTTTAATTTGAACTCCATGAGCCAAAATAAAAATCCCTTTGTTCTAAGTTTGTCTAGCACTTACACAAGAAGCTCACGAGAAAGACTCCTAGGCACTCATAGACAGTAATGAACTACTAGTAACACTATTGCTACTGCAGTACCGTGAATGCCTATAAATGTCCTTTTGAAGTGGAGATGGCAATAGGTTTGGTGGAAGAAGGAGGACTGGCTTTTGAAGCCATACTGGGAATACTAGTCACTCTGGTTAAACGATCCACTCACCCTTTGATGGCAGGCAGATGGTGAATTTTGGGTTTGTCACTCAGTAGGTTCCCCCTTCACACTGCCTCTAACCAGAGCCCGCCACTTCCTCTGCTGTCTTTGCTCCAACAAAATGTCCCCTTTGTGCTGTTGCAATCCACTTCCCTCTAAAGATCCCATGGGGACTTCTGCTGCTCATCACCGTCTGGTGCGTTCCAAATCCTTACCGTGCCCACAAAGCCTTTGTGCAAAAGGAAACAAATGCTGGTGGTGGCTGAAGTGTCTTCCCTTTCCTAAGCAGGTATGCATTTTAGCACGCCTGTCATTACGTCATTTTACCTCACCTTTGTGTTTGGAACTCCCTGAGAGATGAATAAGCAGTTGGCACCATCTCTGGGTATTGGCACGATGGGCCTTCCTGTCAATTTTTTGCCAAAAGACATTTCTCCAACAAGGAGAACTATGAAAAAAAAATAACATGCTGCTAGACATAAACCAAAAGAAAACACTTTCCTGCTAGAAATGACATAAGTAATCAAAAATGAAAGATGACAGAAAATCACTGTACTTACTATGTGTCGTGCTGCAAACACTCCATCAACTATTGCACAACAGAACGCTGCTACCACGCCAAAGCTGATAAACACGATGGAGGCTACTAACTGAGAAGAGAAAAACAGATTGAGTCATGTTTTCAATACAATTCTTTAAGGAAAACAATTACACTAATTTTTCTAGTGTTCTTAAGTGACGTTTTCCCCACTGTAATTCACTTTAGAACAATGTGGCAGGACGCCAGTCGTGCAGTAGAAAAAAGGCAGAAATTCTTGATGCTGGGTTGACATACCATCAAGACTACTAGAAAAGCTTAAATCTTTCTAGAGAAAATTAGGTCAGCTGTAAGAGTTATTAAATTTAACGGTGATTTCTTCTAAATCAACTTATTTAATAAAACAGCAGTGGTGTCCATAGGGAGCATGGCAAAAAGCCACGTTCCCGTTGGCTCACATCAATCTCTAGAGCTTTACTACAGTGGCAGTAGTTCACACATACAAATAAAGACATTGTAGTAAGTTAATAACTAGCCCGTGAACTCTCAGAAAGCTTTTATCATCCCAAATAGCTTATGATACCTTATGCCACAACAAAATCAGGACTGGTACCTCTGGAAGGGCTGGGGTGTGCTGCCTTGGCCCCTGCCCTTGTTGGGGCTCCCAGCCTGCCCCTCGGTCTTAGAGTGGGCACGGCAGAGCACAGCAGAGCTCAGTACACGTCCCAGCTGTAGCACAGACAGTACACTGTCTTTGGTAGCCTACCAGCCATAGCTTCAGACCTCATTTTACCTCCCAAGCTGCTTCATTCATTAAGCATTATTAATTCTTTATCAACAGGACTGCAGATGGCGTAACGCTAGAGCACTGCTCTAGCACAAGCGGTGGTGGTGCGGAGGGCTCAGGGGAAAAGGCTGTGCAGGCTGGGCGTGCTGAGACCCTGCTAGCCGTGCTCACTTTATCTCCGAGGACAACTACAGCTGCAGCTCTAGCAGCCACTGCAGGGCTAGCACAACCCCAGATATGGCAAGCTTACCGCCCAATTCACTCTGAAGAGAGCAACAGGACTCGAAAAGGCCGAGCACTGGTATGCATCTCCATCAGAGACCAGTCACTGCGCTGTTAGCACACACTCTTGAGACGGCACTGGCTTGTTTTGATGGCACGTCTAAAGGATGCAGTGCTGCGAGTGAGGTGAGATGAAGCAAGTCCTGAAAGAGAAACCCTGTGTACGCCTGGCAAGGCGCTCCCCCTGGACTCGTTAGATGAGGGACAGATGCTGTCACTCCCTCCTCACTCAGATTAGAGGATTTTGTGACTTTGAGGTCTCTGTACCTTGAGTTCGGATGAGTGGCTACCTGCAGGATATAAGGTGAACCTGATGTGCACTCTCTGGCTATGTTTTTAATATAATTTAATGTACATCTCTCATGTCTGGCATTTCTGATGTGAAGTCACACGATGAACCCTCAGAAACATCCTATATGATAGTTTAATTTTATTTTACTACAGTATTAAGTTATAGTTAATAACTGCAACAGGTTAAAAAGTTCCCTTGAAAACTGACAGAACAGCATCCTTCATTGACAGAGCACACGGACCAGGGTTCCAGTTAAGAATTTTGAACCTCTTTGTTATTTACTAGTCACTGATTGCTCCTTCACAACATGTATTTCAGAAATGCTCAGGTACAGATTGCCAAAAATACATCCATACAGTTCATATATCCCTTTTGCCTATACAAAGTTCATATCTGCATTACCTAAATACTGTTTTCCCATGTGTAAAATTTATAAGGCATCACAAACCCACTTGAAAAATGGACTCTTTCGTTTATGTTAGGCTAAGAACAGTACAATGTCAAGAGTGTCAAGAGGGGACACAGCATTGGTGACTTCCTCAAAAAAATGCATATTGGGCAGGTAAGAAATTATAGCCTTATAGCACCGGACACACAGATCAAAGCAATATCAAACATCTGGAAATGAGAGCTCTCATGAGGAATCAGGAAAAAGTACAACTTAAAAGCAGAACAACCACAGCTTTCAAATGCTTTCTGATACACTCTTGTGATCTCTCATTAGGTCATGGCTCTTAGATCATGTAATCAGAGGCGAGCCAGCACTGCCACAGGGACTGCCGTGTAATCTGAATCCTCAGCGCCGGGAGGAAAGGGGCACACCGAAGTGGCTGATGGCACTGGCTGATCTTGGGAATCTGCTGCATCCCCCCTGCAGCCAGCTCCATCCTGCCATAAGGAGGCAGAAACCCTAAGAAAGCACAGTTGGCTGCATCGGCCTTCAACCTCCACTGTCCCGTGGCTCCCCAGTATGGCGGGTCAAGTCTCGTGAATCTGGCTGTCTAAAGACCTTGGCATGCAACTCATCAGATCAAGAAGGCTGTGGGCTCCTTGTAGAGAGCTATTACCACTGCAGATCAGTGGGCTGTGCTGCCCTGTGGCAGCTGCATTTGCTACAGACCCCGATCTCTTTATTTGAAAAAGCAGCAGTGTTTAAAGTTCAGATTAAGTCATTATTGTCTGATAACTCTGTCTTGTTTTTCAAGTCATAGCAGTCAATCAAATAATTAGTGGGCTTACCCAGGTGTTTCCAAATTGCCTGAGCTCAGGATGAATTTACTGGAAGCTGACCTCAAGGTGTCCTTTCATTTCACACATGAGCAACTTATTGATGATCTACAATCCCCAAACTAACATTTTCCACTCATGGAGATAGCTTAAATCACCTAATGAGTATGCTGGCCTTTCAGTTTCACCATATAGCTATAAGAGACCACATATAAAGGTGCACAGTAAATTGTAGTATAGACAGGAGCTATGGAGCTGGCTTTGCGTTCCCCAGTCATGTTGGTGAGCATCTACCCATTCAAGGAGTTGCGTGCAAGTCAGCCAGAGTCTGCTGTTCCTATCCATGCCTACTAGTAACTACTTCAGTGAGTGGTCCCTTTGAAATGGAGAGGACCATTTCTTGACTGAAGTAATACTTACTATAACGCCAAAGTGGCAGAATGTGACACTCAGGGGTTCTTATGACTTAAATTGACTTCTGTATGTGTTAGAATGATAAAAGAAGTAATAATACAAGAACCACACAAAGAAATCCTTAAAATAAAATTACAGATTTATATTCTCTCTCAAACCTCCCATTGCTTATTCAGAATGTGAGAAACACATAAACAAAGTAAAAAATTAATTACTTCTAAAAATTGCAGCCAAGACAGCCAAATGAAGAGCTGCTGTAAATTCAAAAGCTAATTTTCCTGAGTGGTAGGTGATTGCTGAACGAGTTGTGAGTTCACGAGCCTAGCACTGTCAAGAAAGAAAAGCAGCCCAGTTCATTTAAACGTAGAGAATTTTTGTTGATAGATAAAAGAAATAGTACTTTAAAAAAATATACTGATCCATCACATCATCTCATCTCCATTTTTAATAGCAGTATGCTTTGTCAGGAAAACTACTCATTATTTATAACAACATATTTTAACCGTTATTCAAGAAACAGTTTTGCTCTCACTGTTCCATTGCTCTGCAGCAGGCTTCTCTACAGCTGTTACTATCAGAACATGTTTACCCTGGGTTCTGGTACGGAATACAATAATTTGGTTACTTACAAGGGAACCATGAAGCCAGTCAGTTATTAAACAGTGAAAACTGTACTGTGTGGGCCTAACAATCAAAACCAAAAGCCAGTTGTTTAACAGAGGTGTTTTAGCAAAAGGGAGAGCAAAACAGCACTTAGAATAAGGGACTTTTGCGCATAGTATTAACTGAAGAGCTGTTCTCTTCAGTCATGTCACAGAAATATGAAAACACTCAAAAATGCAAAACTAGTGAAAGGCTGGACTGCTAAATTCTTGCATGCTGCCTTCTTTCAGAAGAGGCATGCATTTTATTGCAGAATTCTCCTGTCTTAGACAACCTCTTGTCCTTCAGCAGGCATACAGCACCACTGGCTGCACGGTGTCACCCTCCCGTGCAAGCGGGACACCCCGTGGCCATGCAAGCTGGTCACGGACACTGTTCAGCTGTCAGAAATGCACCTGGCATGGGTACTTGGCAACTGACAGTCTCCTACAATGACTCCCAGGCATGGTTTTGGAGTTCAGAGTTGGCCACATACCAGACCCAATGCGGAGTCTGATGCAGCCACCCTCAGGTAACCACCACACCTTAGGTCCCCATGCACTTTGTGTGCTGAACCACACGCTGCTGGCACCGTGTCCCCGCTGTGCGACACACAGAGACGTGCAGCCAGCGTTTGCCAGCCGACACACAGAAAATCACATCACTCCCCAGCATAAGCACCCGCTTCCTACAGGCTGGTACCTCGCTGGCTGTTTCCAACATCCCTGTGAAACAGCTCTGGGAGACTCACTAGGCTCCAGGTCTCTGTTCTCACACATACCTGGTTTCCTTATGGCTCTAATTTAGCCCTTACCTGCCTTCAGTCAAAAAGCACAACTGCTCAGATAGCGACGGTCACTTCTAGCACTGGATGCTGCGTGAGATGCCTCATTCTCTCAATTTAGACTAAGTAGATCTGTGACTTTGGAAAATGCATGGATTTTTGTTTTCTAAATTACCTCGGTATCAGATCTAAGTTACATCAACCCCCTCTGGGATTTTTTTCCAGGCAGAGGAAGAATCACAATTACCCTCATCAATGTAAACTGAGAAACACCGTCATCCAATACCTTTTGCTCTGGAAAGTGAAGGCTTTGCAAAAGGCTGTGTAAATCTTATGCCACAGGTTTGTAAAGCCCTTTTTATCCCCACACAGGGTCAAGCAAATGTATTTGGAAAAGAAATGCATGGGGCAATTTATTGTAGGCTGCCCCTAACATTACACTCCCCAAAACACAGTTTAATGCTGTGGGCCTTTTTACTGGTTTGATTTCCCTATGTCTCCAAGCTCCAAATGTAATACAGGCTTAAATAAATCTGCTGCACTTTTTCAGTACACTGAGGATGAAGATGTAAGAGCAGTAGTTTACAAAAACTATGTCACAAATCCAAAACAGAGCATGACTTCCCACAGCTGGTGCAATCTCAACCAGGAGCCGCATCTGTTACCATGGCACCTCAGCAAGGC